GGGGGAGGGGGGGGGGGGATTCTTTTTGGGCCAGGGATGGGGGGGGGGGTAAGGCGGGGGTTTCCCGGAGCAGAGGGGGGGGGAGGGACATGGACAGCGGGTTGGGCGGGGGGGGGGGGGGGCCCCGGATTTTGGGGTTGGGGGGAGGGGCCCCCCGGGGGGAGGGCGGGGGGGAGGGGGCCGCCTTGGGCCCGGACGAGGAGGAGCCTTTGGGGCGCCCGTGGAGGCCCCCCCTCGAAAACGCCCCCTTTGGGGGGGGTTTTTTTTTCCCAAGCCCGGGGGGAAGGGGGGGGGGGGGGGGGGGCGGCGGCAGGAACAGCAGCGTCGGCGCCGGCGCCGCCGACGCGTCGCTAGCGTCGACGGGAGCAGTGGCCGCGATGAGGAGGTTCGGACAGAGGGTCAAGGAGGGAGTCGTCGGGCCGGCGGTGGCGGCGCCGGCGTCGGCGGCGGCCGGAGCGGAAGTCTCGGACGGCAACGGTAGGAACGGCAGTAGCGGCAGCGATGGTGGGTCGTCTTCGGTGTCTCCCAGCCACGGGGGGGGCGGCAGCCTCAAGGACAAAGCGAGAGCGAAGCTTGCCGGCGTGGTGAAGTGGGCGCAGAGCCCGCGCAAGGCGCTCAGCCCGCGAGGTCGTGCTGGTGTTCGGGCGTTCGCCGGCTAGATCAAGGGGGCAGGGACACGAAACAGGGGGGAACGGGAGATGGGCTAGCCGGCTGTGTGTGCAAAGGTTGGCCTGTCGCTCACGTGGATCGTGTCGTGGTACGGCAGTAAGTAGTACCGCCATTTGTCGGTCTGGGTGTACACGGAGGAGAGTTGGTGTTTTTTCTGCTTGGTTTTGTTTGCCTCTGCTGTTTAGTTGTTTGGAACCTTCAGGCGCGCATGTGTTGGTTTGTGGGGGGTAAAACCGGGTTTTGTTTGTTGATGGTGTATCTCTTTCTTCGTTGTTGGCTTGAAATGACTGGACAAGGTAAGACGTAAGTATAAGATATGACAGCCTTCGGTGACTGTAGAACCGAATCGATCGTGCTGTGGGTTTATCCCGGTGCAGCAGTGCACGCTGAATAAGAGAATTCCGCGGTGCACGCAAGTGGGTGAGTTGCCTATTGTGCTGTCTTTGCGTTTGGCCCAAGCGCCACCGCAAGTGGGGGGGTGCAAACAGCGCCAGAAGTTGCCCCAGTGTACTGCGTGTTTGGCCCAAATGCCACCGCCTGAAATAGAACGTGAGAGAGCGGCCGTCAAAATGGTATCTTGAGGAGCATCTATCTCTCCGTTCTTTCGATACCAAGTTCCTCCTAGCTTTATTATAAATAGATGAACTTTATTCCACCCCTGACTCTTGAGTCATCGAACAGCAGCAAAAAGGCGCGAATTATGTAGTATTGTCATTTTCTAATCTCAGGGAAACGCGAACGGGGGCACGCATGTATGTGTCCGTCCTCTGTCGAATTTCGAAAACGATTTTTTTGGTTAACGGTTTGTTGATGTTGTTCTGTTTGTATGGCGGCGTGCTGTGTGACCAACTTGTTTGGTAGGCCGACAAACGGAAGTGTATACAGAAACGGTGATACATGGCTATTAGTAGTGGTGTAGTCTAAGTGGGTTGTGAACGAGCTTTGTTTGAGGCTGGGGGGTAGGAGGAGGCATACCGTCATGACATAGCTTTCTTTGACTATGGGCTCGACGAACAGACAGGAGGAGGAACATTTCTTGATTTCTGTTGGAGAATAAAGCAACAACCAAGAGGGGTTGTTTGCATGTTGAGGGGGGCAGTGTGTTGTCATGGCAGACCTATTTACGTACGACTGGTTGATATATTTTATCCTTGACAAACGCGGATTGATATCTACTACGTTTGTTCCCTTGGGTCAATCATTTTTAAATTCGAGCAAGAGATAGTTGTTGTTGTGGATGGCGGATGGTTTGGATTTTCAACCAAATGTTCAGTTTTGATACGCTGTGGGGGGGGGGGGGGGGGGGGGGCATACATACTACGTGCTTTCAGTGTACGTCAAAGCGGGCCTTGTTGTTTTCGGCAGCCGCATCCTCTCGCTCTTGGCAGCGCTGCGCGGCCGCGCTTGCTAGCCCTCGACAGCACCGAACATCGAGGCGGTCCTCAAAAAGACCCCAAATACCCGTTGGCCTCACTCAGTGTTGGATGTAAGTAAGCGTTTCGACTCTTCGCCACCACACACTCTTCGTGCTTGGTGCGTGGCCGACCTGACGATCAGGCTAGGCCCTCCAAAAGTGAGCCATGGATCAGGCTTGACCCTCCAAAAGTGAGCCGTCCTCTCCGCCGTTGGCGATGCGACCATAAAAGACCTACAGATGGGCGTGCGTGTGTGGTGCCGACTTACCATGCACGCACATGCACGCCCTCCTCGTCGTTGGCCTGCCGGTTAGTTACGGGTCGATGCTTTAAATTTAAAACATGAGACCACACATACATACACACACACCACACAGACAGCGGTTGGTTATGGGTGCACTTCAGAAAAAAAGCGCCCCCCCCCCCCGTATGGAAGGGATTGGACATCGACGAAGATGAAACGCTGGAAACGGAGGGTCTACAGGGGTTCAAGGAGAAGATATCTGTTGCTTGTGCCGACAGAGAAGAACAGAATCTAAGGAAA